TTGCTTTCACCCTTCAATAAGCCAACTATTATTTTTCTTCTAACTTTATTATTTTTAAAGGTATGGTTACCAACTTTATCCTGAAATAATTTTCTCTTTTTAAAAAGACATTAAAAAATAACGCCAATTAAGATCTCCGTTAGCTTTAAATAACGGACGTAAGGAATGTGTGATTTAAAGTTTTAGTCTTTATTTAAAAATAAAAACGAATGGTTGTTATTCGACAATTTTTTTAATAACTGGTTTAATTATGATTTAATACACACCGTGCACAATTGTAAGATTTATGTTGATGTTTTCTATGTATAGAGCTCCATGTTTGTAATGTCTGTCTACCCGAAATTAGCGAAATCAACTCAATGAAGAGCAAACAATTTTATCACTAAAACGGAAACTGGAAAGTTAATAAACTGGAAAAAAAATTTCTTATTATCTTATAACAATAATGACCAAATCAACACAGAAAGAGAATAAAAATATCAAAGGTGTAAACTTGACGGAAATGGCGCAACTGGAGGACCCAATTGTAGTAGTCATTCAGAATATCAACACTGGTTGCCATTTATCGATTCACGATGTGTGTTCAAAACCGTGTAGAAGGATGTATTACGTTTTAACAATAAACATGAAAAGTGTTGTTATTTGCGGATCCTGCCCTTATTTCCTTATCCTGAAATACTATGTAGTCGACCGCAGCTTCAGAGCTAGGTGCGGCAACGAGTTCTCAAAATAAGACAAATACATGCCGGCGTGCCACAAGGAGCATTCTTGCTTCCATCCTTTATATCATTTATAATGCTGACACCCTATGCTATACACCCTAATACCAACCGCTTGCGTAGACGATACTGTAATTTTGTTCTCTATCTCAAATCTTATCCAGTATCCAAGAACGCCTTGAGCTTATAAAAGACTGATGCAAAAAGTGGAGGACAAGCCATCCAACATCCAGCGATTCGAATCTTTCTCCAGAACGACCTCAATACTCCTTTTGTCAACGAACTGATCCGTTCCCGATTCTAAGAGTTTCACGTCAACTTCTCGATTCATCCTAACCCTAGGATCGAGCCCTTTCTACACATCCCCATCCCGACATCCTCCTTGCTCTTTAATCCCTCACACTGAGTGTCTGCAATGGCTAGTTTCTCATGGCATGTGTCGTCCGGATACAGCGCTGGCAGTAGTGTTAGTGTTGTGGCCACGTGAAAAAACGGATTGTGATTACAATTGTAATATGTATTAATATTTATAGTGTACAAATAGAATAATTTAAAAAATTCTTGTTTATTATGGAAAAAATATTTTCTCATAAATGCATAAATAAAAACTGATATTCTTTACATATAGTACCTCCGTGGACAATGGAAGAACTCAGTAGCTCTCTTCTGTTCGAGACGCTGAAAGAGGCAGACCTTTGTGTTACATTCAGATCAAACAGAAAATCATTCCATTTTGTGATACCATTATGGCAGTGAGCTTCTTGCTTTTTTGGTTTATTTCATTCTTTATCAAGTGTATGTCCTTTTCAATCAATCTTTTTTCGTGCTGGAGCGTTTGAAAAGATCTATTGTTTTGGGTGTCCTCTTCGTTTTGTTTAATAAATTGGTTATTTGTTTTATTTCAACTATTGCGACATTACGCTGAATTTACTTTAGTTGAACTGGGTTTAGAGAATTGGAAACGGACCACGTTTTACTAAGTAAAGTGAAGGGTAAAAACTAGTGTAAATATATGGACCCAAAGATGTGACAAAATGTATTTCTATCCTTAGACAAGAAAATTATTTATATTTGCCAAACTAAGGATATTTTCCATATCGATCACACAAATGGATGAACGCCTGTCGCAATCAATTTTAAGCCTATTCGACTTAATCAGGCAGAACCAAGGATAGGCAAAATAGGTATAACACTATCAATATTTACTAAACCTTCTTAATAAAAAATGGCATATCTTGAACTTTGAAAGCAGGCTGAAATCCACGTAGATCAAAAACACGACCGAGCCCAGCTTCAGTTGGCGGTCTTAATGTAGTCGAGAGTATATCGACTCGTAAACTAATCTATGAGAAAACATGACGTTCATCTTGTATGGGATAAATGCCGATCTTGTGTTTGATGATTCCGTCATCGATGAGGATTTGTCTCATAAAATTGAGTGAGTGCGTAGACAGTATGATGGTAACTGTGTGCCTCGGTGTCCCAGTGTTGAAAAAAAAGCCCGTTTGTAAATATGTCCGGGAAACCTCCTTAAACGTAAGGGGAGCCCCTTTTAACCTTTGGATTATTTCTACTGCATTGTCTTAAAATTAAATAATTGTTGATTATTTCTGAAAATTGATTCCATTATTAGTGAATTTAAAATTGGCAGCTGAGATATAAAGTGAACAGTTTGTTTTTCGTTCCCTCGTACACTGCAAGTCTAATTATAATGATCCTCGTTCCCATGAGTGAGATTATATTTCTTTTCTAACAATTTTTAATTAATCTAACCAAATTGTATTTCCTTTTTTCATTAGCTTATGTAATGCACAAGTGAAAGCGTTCTCATGATTATAAACCCAAAGACTTCGTTGATTTAGAGGATTGAACTAAGTACGGAAGACTTATTACTTAAGAATTATGGTTAATTTGAGGTTGAAGCTTTTCGTATAAATTACTTCCATGTTAAAAATAAGTCTTCGACATATTGTTCATTTTTGTTAAATTGCATAATATTTGTTTTAAACACTTTTCTTTTGATAGGCAAAATAATAAAATGTTTTAACTTTTTCCATGAACCATTTTAACGTGTTAATCAATATTTTTATGTAAATAATTTTCATTGGGTTTTCAAACAAGCGAAAAAAAACAACAATGAGGAATAAAATACTAAAAAAACATAGGTTTGAGAATTCACTCGCAACAATTGTGTCACTCAACAAAAAAGAATGAAATATTATATTTTAGTGAAAATAAATCGCGCTGAAGAACCATCGATGGGTTTACTCTTTTACATATCATCGATTATTTGGATTTCGGTTCGATTTTTTACAGACAGGCTTCAGGTACAGACTTGAAAAAAAATTACATCTTTAGCAATAAGTGTATTAGACGGATTCTGGGTGTGCTACTAAGCACAGATAAGATAGTACTTTCTGCAGAAACGGGGTAGCTTCCTCCAGCAGTTAGATTACAAACATGAGCCATCAATAAATTACTAAATTTGCAAGATTCTGAGAGTCCTCTTTTGCCAAAAATGTTGGCATTGAAGGAGTTAGTTCAAACAGAAAGTTACTGGAGGAAAAAGAAACCCCTTCCAATAGTAAGTGCCTTTTTGATAGTTATACCCGCTATATTTGAATGCATAAACATCAGATCCACCCGGTCTACCAACTTGGCTCTCAAAAAGGTATTAGTACACCAAATACAATTTATTTACAAGATGGCACTGAATATCCCCTACGATTGCATTATTCATGCATTATTTATTGAAATTCATCATTTATCGAGGAAGTGCCCGATAACCATTTTTTTTACGGATGGTTCGATAATGGGTGGTAAAGTCGGGTGTGCCATTGATGAATCTACTAAACAATTTTGTTCTAAAATTATGCATCCCTCAGTGATGTCTATATTTTCGCAGAATATATAGAATGGCTGTTCTGTTAAAAGCCCTGGATTATATTGCAACAAAAGAAGAAACTAAGTTTTGTATATTGACAGTTAGCAAAAGCTCAGTTTCCCAAATCCATAATTTTTCCCCTGAGGCTAAATGTTATTAACTGATAGCGGAAATAACTGGCAAAACCTAAATAAAAAAAATAAGAAAGTAACATTTGGTTGGTGTATTGATTTTATGCCTGATCGGGTTCTTTCATTTGTTTGGGCGCCATCTGTATACCATATCATTGTATTTGATTTCTCCCTGAATTCTTCTTCTCATTAGTTAGTACTTTATTAAAAATTAATAATTAATTCAACTATAATATTTTAATATCACTTACACTAACATGTTATCACTAACAAGTATGAAAAAAACAAAATTTCATATTATGTGATTTGTAATATATTATTGATTAAGGACAATCAATAAATATAAATACATACATATATGTTAGTATATATGTGTATATATACATATATGTATTTATGTGTGTATACATATGCAACATCATTATATTATAAACATATAATAATATGCATATATACTCATATATGAATGCATTTATATGTTGCAATGAGTGTTTCTGAGATCATGTAGTCAGTCCCCTTTGAATTTATACCCCACATAATATAGAAATCTTTGGAATATCCCAGTCCGAATTCAATCATCACATTTAAAATATTAATTAAATTCATTATGTTTAGTGGTCTGATTGACCAAATTACTTATTTAAATTAATTATTCTTTCATGTAAGGTTTTGATTGAAATAAAAAAGTTAGTGACACNGGGCGGGATTCGAACCCCGCCCGTGACACTAACTTTATTCTTTTTATGTAACGTCTTCGTTGAAATGAAAAAGTTAGTTATTAATTATAAACTAGTAATATTAATTAATTTATTTAATCGATCATCTGAAAATGATCGCAGGGTATGGAGTTAATAAAACGTGTGTGTAATTAACATTATGAAGCGATGATTAATTCAAGACAAAGAAAACATTATTCCCGCACAGCAATTTTTATTTTTACGCCAATAAAATAAATTATAATTAGTTTAGATCTAAACTACATTCTAAAGATATATTTCATTTAAAAGTTGTGGTTAATATATTCTAGACTTTCCATTACGGAGTTTTCTACAAAAAACAGTAAATACAGCGGTTTCTTTAAAAATTGACGTCAATGGCCCTCTTTTACGATAAAGCGAGTCCGTATACCCCAGAGGAAAGAAGAGCTGTCTCAGGAACGGGGGAGTTGCAACCCTTTTAATACTTAACCCTCACCTCGTACCCTATTTACAGGTTAGAACGTTTTCACCCTTTGGATATATTTTTTCTTTTTTATGTTTTACTAAGGTCCGCAGCGGTATGGTCAAAGTCAGCGATGGCAAGACGAGACCGACGCCTATGCGACTCCAGCTGTCCATGGAGTTGCTCAAGCTGCAGAAGGAAGAGGTGACACCTCCTAATCAAAACAATAAGCCTTCACCATCAGATTCACGGGTAAAACAATACAAATATGTACATAACTCCTAGTTGTTTCAAACTATATTTTATGTTTTTTCCAGGTGAGAATAGTCGGAATAACAAGGCAAAAAGTAGGAGGACTCGGGCTCAGCATCAAAGGAGGTTCTGAGCATAAATTGCCAATTTTAGTTTCTAGGATATTCAAGGACCAAGCGGCTGACCAGACTGGTCAACTTTTCGTCGGTGATGCTATTATAAAAGGTTTGCAACCGACTTAACTCAATTGTAATCGCTACATTTTCGGTTGATGTGAAATTGTTAAATATTTTCACACAGAAATTCTTACATAGAAAAACCAATTTCTATCCAAACCAATGTTCTTACAAAAATCTTAATAAATGAAAACGTTAAGTTCTCTCAAATGCGAAGGTGGTCAACTTATTGAGTGCATCGTTATTCTGCAGCGTGTGGTACAATTTTGCAAATATGTTATTTTTGTAGAGCAATGATGCTGATTACTCGTACTACAGTCATGTCCTAAAAACTCATGTAGTACACTATACAGGGTGAATTGCTACTCGTGCTACAAACTTCTCCAGTAGATTCTTCACCCTAAAATGAACAAAAAAGTTCATATTGACCATGGTCCGATTCTCAACCATTTCAGAGTAATTTCGCTTTTTATCGATTTTGAAAGATATCACGTCCTGGCGTCGGAAAATCGTGATATCTTTTAATCTAAACATTTCTCTTAAAATCTATAAGCACCGTTGAAATCCCCGTTAATTTTTAGAGAGAATCAAAATCATAATTCCATTGAAATTTTTTAATTTAATTTAATGCCCATTTAGTATGTAATGCTTAAGAAGTTTACAAACAGCTAGAAGGTCAAGGAAGAAAGACCCAAACGTTTTGCCACCTTCATCTTCTTATTGAAAAATTAACGGGGATTTCAACGGTGCTTATAGATTTTAAGAGAAATGTTTAGATTAAAAGATATCACGATTTTCCGACGCCAGGACGTGATATCTTTCAAAATCGATAAAAAGCGAAATTACTCTGAAATGGTTGAGAATCGGACCATGGTCAATATGAACTTTTTTGTTCATTTTAGGGTCAAGAATCTACTGGTGAAGTTTGTAGCACGAGTAGCAAGTCACTCTCAAACATTAGCAATCCTTGAACCACCATTTTTTCTCTTTTTGTCATCAACATCTTGGTCTCACAACCACTAAATAAGAAAATGACGAGTGCGTTGGAAGCGTTATTAAATCAGGTAGTTTTCCTCAAATTTGCTGCCTTCTGAGACTAAAATTAGAAACTCTGGATTACTTTATACACTTTCCGATTTACACAATTTTCCACTCTTTTTGTAGTTCTGGCTGAAATAAAACACAAAAAATTAGCCCAAACATTTTGCCACCGTCATCTTCTTATTGAAAAATTAACGGGAATTTCAACGGTGCTATTAGATTTTCAGAGAAATGTTTAGATTAAAAGATATCACGATTTTCCGACGCCAGGACGTGATATCTTTCAAAATCGATAAAAAGCGAAATTACTCTGAAATGGTTGAGAATCGGACCATGGACAATATGAACTTTTTTGTTCATTTTAGGGTGAAGAATCTACTGGAGAAGTTTGTAGCACGAGTAGCAATTCACCCTGTATGTTAAAACAACAGCAATACTGAAGGAATATTGAAAATATCTTGCATATCGTTCATGTTTCAAACCTAATGTCAAATAAGAAAAAATTCAGCGCCTTGCCTTACCTTTTTTTTCCAACTCATCATGCTTTATTTTCATACAAACTAATTAACATTCAAACAAAACAATCCAGTACAGAGAGAAAGAGTGACTCGGATATTTTTTCTTTGTTCATTTTATGTTGGTGTATTTGTTGCAAAATATGATTTCCGACCAACAATATATTACACTGTATCCGATCATCGTGACCAGTCTGTTTTCACTGTATGTAAAGCGTGACATTCAGTCATTGATGACGGCCTGGGTCAAACAATCAGCGATAACAAGAATACATGGACCAGGTTGATGAAACAATTGTAACTCTAAGGTCCTATCCTTAGGTCAACAAGTTATCAATTAGGTGCACAATTATGTACAAACTAATTACACGTGTTCACCTAAATGATTATTTGGAATAATAAGTTTGTTAATTTATTGAAAACCTTTTTGTACGGTATCCATGTTACATACATTCGGTAATTTGTAGTACGATAATCACATTTAGCCCAGATGGATAGCTTATTCATAAAAGAAGGCATTATTAACATTAACAACAAGGGAACTTTGCATAAAGCCAACGGAGAATATAAAAACATTCTTCTCCTTCAACATTTCCTCCACTTGACAACTTTCCCAGTTCTGATTCCAATTAAATTTCCCTTCCTTATCACCTCTCACGCTCGTACAATCCCATTTTTCTCTTCCCCTGTCTGTCGAAATTCTTTTTGCCCTTGTCCGAAAAAATTTATTTTGAAATTACAGTGAACGGAGAACTGATAACCCACTGCCAGCACGACGAGGCGGTGAACATTTTGAGAAATGCGGGCGACATCGTCATGCTCACTGTCAAGCATTACAGAGCAGCAACTCCGTTTCTTCAAAAAGCTAGTAAGTATTCTTCGTAACATACGATTTCATAACACAGAATTAATTTACTTACCGTGCCATTACTACATTGTTGATTTTTGAGGGCCACAAGTGTGCTAAAAAAACTGTTTAAAACCTTTAATCTTAACCGACAGGAATACGAAACCTTTCACCGTCCCTGATGATACGACAAACATTTTCAAACACTCCCTCGCCGGTAAAAAGATTTTCTCGTTCTGCAGGAGACGACGACATCCAGACTGATGATAATTTCAGCAGCGTCGATCAGATCAGCTACGAAGATCTGATCAATATCGACTGTGATTACAGTGTTTATTCAGACTCCACACTCGCTGAAGAAGATTGCCGAAGCGATGATGGCGATGATAATTTTGAAATTTATTACGAAAAACAGTGGTACTACGGTAAGGTGTTCTATTAAGCAACGCCCTGTTGGGACTCTAGGTTTCTTTTAATCAGCCACCGACATACAATGTGGCCATCTTATAACAAATTACTTTCCCAATCTATTATGTCTACAAAGAAAAACAGGAAAAAGTAAAAAATGCAAAAGACCAATAGAAATATAGATTTTAAATTTGGAATCATACTTCAATTACACTTTCATGTAATAGCATTGCCAAAAATACAAAATACCAACAGAAATACAGTATTTAAATTTTGAATTATACTTCAATTACACTTTAATGAAATAGCATTGTCCTAAAAAAAATTAGTTTTGGGCCTACCCCATTGCTATACTACTTTACAACGCTTGTAACGCCAGTTTTCGCTTTTCTTCTTATTTGACCGAGGAAAGTGCAAACTTAAAAATTGTACGTATTTAATTGTACTTTAATTCTAGGGCCATGTGTCAATTATAGTAACGTGTTAATCAAGTCCTTTTCAGGATATTTACAGGATTAGGGTTAATTGGGTTCAAAAAATTAGTTGCATTGATTGTCCCTTATTGGATAACCGGATTATATTTTTGTTTGAAATGAAAGGATCTTGTTTCATCTCGTTTTTCGTTAATTCATTTCGTAAGTTCATATTGTTTGAAACCATGTGCTTCAATATAAGCATTCATATTTAAAGTTTCAATTTGCTATAGGGGATAAATTTCTCGAAGGCTCGATGAAGGAACTGACAAAGAGATTGTAGGATCACCGATATTATTTATTTTATTATTATCATTATTAAGGCTATCAACCATTATGTGGGTTATTTTCTGCTTAATAGAGCGTAGGTTAAATAGTACGTGGATGACGAGGGATGGATGCAAGGAAACCTACCGACCGGACGAAAACGTAGCCTGATGGTAGCACACCCCGGGTCACATTTTTTTCCGATTATTGTATCCTTACTTATTCAGCTTGTTCAGAAGGATGTGCATGCACTGCCACCATATCGCCCTTCCCCGATCTGGGTACTTATTATGGCCCAAGGATCTCGTAGGAGCGCTCCTAATCTAGCCCAAGATCTCCCCAAACGAAGAGCACCCAGGCCGATGCTACCCTCCGGTTAGTCATTTTTATTTTGGAAACAATCCGTTCGGCAGAAAATTTTGCCTCAGCACACAGCCCTGAGGGTCCCCATTCTTCATCTGACTTTATATTACCACATCTTACTCTAAAACGTCTATCATATAAAAATTGTTTTCCGAAATATCAGATTTGGCAATTAATCCCATTTCGATTATGGACTTTAATATCAAATGTCTCCAAACGCGCTCAAAAGGGTTTTCAAGAACAAGATGAGGATTACTGCTAAAACTCTGCCTCCTTTTTTGAAAGCATTCAATATTTTCTTTTCCAGGCCAATGTCTGTTGTGGAACTGCCCTTTCTAAGCCCGTCTTTTCTAATTTCTTTTTAGAAGCGGTATACCAATTGCATTCGACCAGGACTTTGGAAATTTCCCGTCATTGTAAATTTTGTTGATAATATTAAGAATGGAATTAAATATTAAGAATTGTTAATTTGTCATTGCAACTAAAATTCTTAATGAAAGTAAAGGAAGTTTGATCGGGACTAGGAGATGAATCTTTTCTACTTCTTAATGCATGCACATATCCTGTATTGAAAATGGCTGATTGAGAGAATCGAGTGGATCAATAAATGTATGGATTAATATTTGATATCCTGAAATAAGGGCTCTAGACTAGCAATTGCAGAAATATAATACAAATTTTGTGCTAACACGGTCTTTTCTACATTTAATTTTGACAGATCTACTAAATTTTTATAAAGGTGCTTTTCATCGTTTTCTAACTTACATTTATTGGGTTAGTATACATAGCCACTACCATGGTTATCGTCAAGTGTACGCTGTCTAAATCGATGTGGTGAAATATATCTTAATCAATGTTTGAAAGTTTTCGCGACTTGAACAGAAATGAGTAGGGTAACTGTTATTAAGTACCTTTAAGTTGCATTGGTTGATAAAAAATTCAATTATTTGTTCATGATTATTAATACGGACCCGGCGTTGTAGCTTTCAACGTTGTAACCGTTGAAATCACCTAGTATCATTACAGGTTGAGGAAGCTGATTATACATATCTTTAAGTGCTTCTAATTCAATTGCAGATCGGGTGGCATATATAATGAGCTTATTGTACATTGGAAAGTATATAAGATCCTAATTACTATGATTGGTCAAGAACTATGGTAGTAAAGGGGGATATTGGTTTTACTTGGAATGTACACACCACCGCAAGCAAGTCTGCCATCTAAAAACTGTAATGTCTGAACTAAAAATTTTGTGATATTTTCATATGGGTTTCCTGCAGACACAAAATTTGTAAAGTTTAATAAGTATTGGATTTCATCCCTGTGACAAGTGGCACCATCATCTTTCCATTGTAGCAAAAACATTGGTAAAGTATTTAAAATTAGTTTAATTTGTTACAGTTGATTGAATTGTAAAAACTATGCCATATATATCGACCAAGATTTCTTCTGCTCTCTACTTTGGGTTGTTTTTGCCTTGATTTCCGATTCGTAGGAGAATTATGATTAGTTCGTGATCATTAGTCAAATTCGATCAGTCACAACCTCCACAATCTCTAAATACAGAACTTTGAGATATAGGATTTTTAAAGTCATGGTTTTGGAATGTGTCATTTAGTATAGAGATAGAGTTGATGGTTTATGCAAATTAGTTGCTGGGGAAGCGTTTGTTTGGGAGTAAAGGTTTCTGGGCTATCAAAGTTCTTTTTATGAGATATTATTCTTGTCGATTTAGCGAATTTTCAGTTTTATTAATTTTTTTTGCTGAGATTATTGGCACATTTCTACAAAAGTAGAGAAACGGCTATTCGGAGTGTGGCTGTTGTGAGTAGCTACATCATTGGTACATAAAGAATTGGAAGAGGCCTCTTCCGCATTTGAGAGTTGTCTGCGTACGTTATGGGAAAGATTTTGAAACATTAGTTCAGCAGTTTTTTATGATGTTTTTTTATTTAGTCGAATTTTTTTCAATATTTTTTCTCAAATAAATACAGAAAATCTATCAACTGCAGGAGAGGACCTCCACAGTTTACACACTTCCTAGTATTGTTGCATTCTATCCTTTTTTAAAAAGATAGTTCCTACTCACAGTAATTCTATTATTGAATTACTATTGTATTAACCATTATTATTGTTAATCATTTCTATTCCTATTGTTGCATTCTTGTGACATATGATTACGATCGCCACAGTTTCCACAGATTTTTACCTGGCAGAATTGATTTTTACCTTTGATATTGAGAAATTCGAAAGCTATTCTTTCCGGTATTTAAGATCTCTCGAAAGTCAAATCAGAATGGGTGAAGGAATTTTTTCACCGTTTAGTTTTCTAAATATTCTTTAAACTTTGAATAGATTTTGTTAAGCTTTCTTCAATTTTCAACTCATCTCAGGTTAGTAATAATGCGAAAATCTAGGTTTGTTGTTTAATGGGCAAAATTTATTTACAAAAAACTATGAAAATTACTCAGAACACATATAAAAGGAACAATAATCATAGCGAACCACCAAAGCAGAAAAAACAAATTATCTACACTAAACACACACAATACGAAAAAAAGTACAATATCGAGGTCGTAAAACCCAACGTTAACTTAGTAAAAACGGACTGATATTGCCGAATCCGTCAGGGAAATGAATTCTCAACTTATGAACGCATTAGGGTGGGTGTTCCTCGGGGAAGCATACTTGGCCCATTTCTATTTTCAATATACACTGCAGATATCCCTACACATGTTAACATTTCAGCTCATACATTCGTTGATGATACTTTGATGAATCTTACACGTAATTCGGACCCCTCAATTAATACTCAACACTTACAATACCTGATTCAATTAGCAGTATGGATCACAAAGTGGGGAATGTAGATAAACTGACGAAAAGCGTACAGATAAATGTCATATTATGTCAAAATATCTGTTCTGCAGTGAGTATGCCATTGCCTACCACTTTGTGCGTTATCTTTGACTTTTCATTGATAAACGACTGACTTCTAATTCCCATACAAGACTGAAAAGGCAGCAAAAAAACCGACGTTATTAATTATTAAAAAGACTACTTGACCCACCATTAAAATTAGACATTGAAAACAAACTTTTAATTTACAAGGCAATGATTAGACCTCTATGGGCGAACTTTTGTGATGAGTGGGGCTCAACCAAGAATTACAATTCCCAACATCCCCAATCAATCCAATCTAAAATTCTCCGTCAAATCATAAATGCTCCGTTTTACGTTTCAAATTACACTATACATAACGACCTACACATCCCGTTTGTACATGAACTCATCAAAACCCGCTATAAAAAACTTCATCAATTACTGAACACACAATAATCTATTAGTACGATATTCATCACTTCCAACCCTAACTGAAAATCCTCCAAGACGATTGAAGCGAAGATTGAACCGATTTCAGTGTGAAGGAGTGTTGCCACTGGGCAACTTCTCCTACAAGAGACTCAAATGACAAATTCAACAAATGTGAACATATTTACTTAATACTACTTTGTCGTTGTAAACGAAAATCATAGAACTGGGTTGAGAACTTTTTTGTTGCATTGTAGAAGCTCCTGACGTATTACGTCGTACGATACATACGCTGTATTATGTGTGGTTATACATATAACATTATACGTTACGTGTTAATCGTTCAAACAGCAATAAACATAAATAATATTTCGTTTTATGAATTAAAAAAGACAAATTATAATAATATTCCAAGTACATGTGTTTAAGATGGAATTAATTTCAATTTCAGTTTCTTTGGAGTATCCATAAATTAAGTCCCGTGTGCGCGACATGTTTTACACACCTTTACAACCCTTTTAGCACTAAATTTTTACTCTCTTCTACTTTTTTCTCTCCACCTTTTAGAGATACTGGACCGTGTAATCCAATTCTCGCCAGCTATTAAAGAACACTTTCACACCTGGTCTTAGACCAAAAATTTCCTTTTGTTCTATAATTTTATTAAATAATAAAACATTTATATTAACATAAATAATTTACCAAAGTTAAGATAAAATTATTTATTGTATAAAATCAAATAACAGGGAAGAATAACAGACATGGACATGAAAAAAGTTTTTTTTTTCTCAAGCTCTGAAAGCAATAGACCTTTTCTACAAACATGATTACGACCATGCTGAAACCGTCTTGAAATAAAGCATAACGGAATAAGCTGACCAATGCTAAACTCGGCCTGTACTCGTTGTTATATTTACCTCCCTCTATATTAAAAAAACCGAAATTTCTTGAATAATGATGATCATTTTGGTATAAGCAATCAAAGAGGATGAAGAACTTGCGGAAAGAGAGGAACGTTAGTATCAATGACAAACCGATTATTTTTTTCTTTTTAATGGTTGCATTAATTTCAATATAAGTGTGAACAAAGCATGCTGTATGAATATAATGTTGATTTGGTAGTGTATTAGTTTTTAAATTATATTGTACTTTAAGAATTTCTTTTTCATATTATATTTCACCTTTTACGTGTTATTTTCTAGTAATTACATAATTTGTAAAGAAACTAAAACAATGTATCGTATTAAGTTTTTTACTTTTAAAATCCCTTTAATATTTTCTTGGCGGATATTCTATCTGACAGTAGAAACAAAATAACCTAACACAATCTTCATATTTTTACTAACACTGATTAAATAATTAATTTTTTATATAAGTTAAGTAAGCAATAAAACATCGTTTTTAATAATACGATATTGCTAGGAGTATTGCTGTTTTCGTTTTACTTATTTGGTATAATATTATCTTATTAAAATAGTGTATCTCAATTAATTAATATTAATATTTTATTTTTCATTATATCTATTACTGATCATTTACATAGATGTTAAGAAAATAATAACAAAGTAAACCACAGTTGATTTTAATATTTTTGCTAACTATGCTAAAGGTATTTTATATAAATGAGCGTAAATAATCATAATGTTTAAAGGTTTTCTTCTTGTACTTTTGTATCCTTTACGTGTAGATCTTCCTGTTTGTTAAAACCTGCCAATAAATTCCGACCCATTGTTTTGGACGTTCCTTGAATGATTTTTAATAGCACAATACTGCCCAAGCACAACCTCATATCTTCCTGACAATTTACTCCAAATCTAATATTGTACTGTTTTCTTTTTCCTTAACAGTCGAAAAAGAGGAAAGGGAGCTTGACAACGGCAGCTTGCTCGATGACGCAGAAGGCTGGAAATGCAACGGAAGTGCAAACAACTCCTTGGACTCCAGGAAGATGACTACCAACACGAGATGGGTTGACATCATAACAGGTACTGAATTCCTTATAATTTAAAGTTTCGGATTGTTCTGAAGATCACAGACACAATCATACAACAGGTCCGTGACGGGTCGCATGGCCATTGTTTTAACGTAAACTTTTCAGCCGACGCTTTGTGATGTATACGTCAGGAGGATACGATCTCAGACTTTTGCCTGCACCTGGCATTTGCCGCTGACATGATGGACCCCTTTACACTATGAGCCATGAGAGGCCAATGCATTGGGGACCAAGCTGGGCACCACTGGCCTTGGCTTGGCTCCAGACACTGGGTCAATACATCAGCCAGCATGCCTCAATGGTCGATAATTGCTTACTTTTCCTGTATCATATCGATATTGTTTCGAACCTGTGCCAATATGGGCCACTACAGGCCATCCCCCATGTACACAGTGGCCCCTCTGTGTTGGGCCAATGTTTGATACATAGTGACGAGGGGCCATCATGTTTTCTCAATACGGAATTGCCGCAGAGACTGATGGCATCGACTATGATTTCTCTGCACCTGAAGCCTGTATGTTTCTTTTTTAGATGGCAGAATTAACTGCTGCAGAAACTCACGGTACTGGCTATTAAGACAAGTTATTGTTTGCTTTTACCTCAATCGAAGCCATTGAGCTTTTCAGTGTCCGCAGAAGTCACTCAAGTTGCGCTAGCCACCAAACTTTAATCATTGAAAGCGGAGATGATTAAAAATCGATCGCCGACGCTGCTAGATCCATCAAACGAATTGGTTTTGAATATCGTATTGAAACGTTCGTCCGCTGCACAACAATCGGACCAATTCGGGTGAACTTATATCCTTATATTATGGGTATTTGGATTGATTTGCTATTGACCAACATGGGTGTTTGTAATCAATGAGTTTGTGTAAGTTGATAAATATAATTTAAGCTTTAAAAACACTTGCACGGGATCTTATGGTGGTTGATGCACATGATGAGGCTATTCCGGATATTTTGATATCAGTTAATTTTCAGGCCGAGTGAACAAGAACATTGGATTGATTTGAGAACCTGAATCTAATAAGACTTTATGAGTGACTACATAAAATATAATAATCTTCAGGAGTCCTGGCATCAACTATTTCGGTTGAGAGTATGATAGAATAATTAGAGTTTTTATTTGAATAAGAACTCTTTGTTATGCGCGTAACTGATGGTGTGTGAATTGATTTTGCGCTGTTTTTTCTTTTAATGGATGAGGCTCATGAGATTTATGGCTAAGTTGATCTCGGTGGACGTAAGTATGATGTGTTCGCAAACTTACGGCGAATTTGCTTGCTTTCATGGTGTAGCCAGGCTTCAAGCAATTAAAGCAAACATCGTTTCCTTAATTTTAGTGTAAGTCCAGAATGCTCATCCCTTGATGTAGCGGACAATTGAAAATGTGAAGGTTTTGATGGCATAATTTATCTCACTTGAGTTTGAGTTAGATGACAAAGCGTTGGTTATTATAATTTGGTTTAATTGACAAACTATTTGAGGAAGATTTATTATCTGCGATCACTTCGACGCAGTGGAATCTTTTGTGTAAAAATTCCTTAATATCCTCCATTGTGGGTGAAAAATTCATGGCTCAGGGTAATAATTCTGTGAAGTAGCCTCTGGCCTGGTTTATTATTGTACGAAGGAGATGGTGTGAAATAAAGTAGAGGTAGGGAACTGCGTTTCTTTGTTTTTGATAGCAATGTGTGATTAATGGGCCATCTGGTTGTTTTATCACGAGGATATAAAAAATGGAATTTTTTTGTTGTTTTCGATTTCATGTGTAAATTGTAACCGTGGGTGAAAACTGTTAAATATATCTGATGTAGTTTGATTTGATCTGTGGGAACTGCTGTCAATATAACATCTACGTATTTAGTGAGGAAGGGTAATGCGAAAGGAAGCTGTGGAATAAATGTGTTTAATAGATGTGCATAATTATGTCTGCAAGTGTCGCGCCTAGGTTGCTATATGGATAGCTTGTTCGTAAAAAGTATTTATGGATGTAAAGTATCAGTTATTACAACAGTGTCGAACCATTGTTTCTAAACGTACTTTACACCAGACCGCAACTTACGATCTCTAATTAATTATTAATTAACAGTCACTAAATATTACACATCCCCCATAGTGCTTAACTTATTTGAGGTGGAAGCAGTTTGCCATTCTTTGTATGTTTGGAAATCAAATTTGGATGATATCAGATGAACTAGAAGAATGTCCCGTATATACGTAGGCTGTTGCTGTTAAGGCTTGAAGATGCTTTTGAAATTTGTAATATATATTTCTGAGGCCCTCATTAGATTCCTGATCTAACTTATCGGTATTGAATAATGCTGTAACATGTTTATAAGAATGATTTTTTTTCATTTTCGTAACGCTCTTCCAATAACGTCCAAGCTATCGAATAGTTATCGGATGTGAGTTTTGATTCTACAATATGAGCCGCTTGAGATGACAAGGAATTACGGAGGTAATACAGCTTTTCAACATCGGTTAATCAGACATTACTGTGAATGACGGCTTTTTAAACACATCCCGGAATGGGATCCACTCTTCAATTCCAGAGAAAAGCTTAATATGAATTTGTAGCACACCACAATTTGTAGAAATAGGGTTAGCAAGAGTAGGCTTAGCAACCTTTCCGACGCTAATAAATTTTGGGCTCCTGTTTCGACTTTTGGAGGGACAAGGCTATATTATTCTTTATAGCATTGCTAGATATCATGTATTTTTGCTATATTTTGTCTGTATTGAAACTGAATGTATTTATCAGCGTGAATGTGTAGTGCATGTTGACCGATGGTGGAATATTGAACACTCCAGTGACTCTTTATTACATTTTTTAAGGGTTATGGAGGAATTTCAAGTATCACCATACTAACTGAGTCACTGGTATGTAAATAGGTATGAAGCATTTAAAAGTTAGTGAGAGTTCGAATGAGTTTGGATATAGAAACTGAATGCATTGGGGGCTGAAATGACCTTGCTGTTCTCCGAGATTGGTGATTCTCGAGGCCTGCCTGAAATTGATTGAAAATTGCAAATGTGGCTATGTCTGTGGATTGCGATAAGTTATCAGTTCAACTCTGTACATGGGTGTATGTACATATATGTGCTAAGTTGAGCTTATATAAATCAGTAAATCAATAGTCAAAGAAAAGTTATAAGTAGTTTATATATTGGGGTAAATAATTGATATTTCAAGCTACCTTATAGAAATTATATAAAAATTTAAACGAGTCAAGGTGAATAAGGGCTTCACATCAAAAGAAATAAGTACAGCGTTATCGTCTATTGTGTGAGGTATAAATTTTCGCGAAATTCTCATGAGTTGTTCATTTTGTAAGAATGATTTAGCGAATCAAAATGTTGAAAATTTCATTTACCTATTTTGATAAATTATAAAAAGAAGATATCTAGTTGCCTTCAATATGGCATTAACTTTATGGAAATTAGGGGGCCTGTACATTTCTTGGAGATAAGGTTTTTATAATTTTGAGACGAATTGTTATGTATCACTTCCGAGTAAATCATTCTGTCTATCAATTAGTTATTGTAATTTTGTAAACTTGGTATACGATCTTTTGTTACAATTTCCTATTAATTTTTATTCTATTAATGTTATCATTTTGTCCTTTTATGTTTGAATTATGACCTTAACATTTCCTTTCATAAATTTCTTACACTTAAACAAACCCTTTTCTGTGTCTGTTTTTTAAATCAACATTAATTTTAATATTTAATAAATTAGTCCCTGGTATTGGACTAATATCTTCGAAAAGCTTGGAAAAAAAGAATGCGTTGTTTGATTACATCAACTCGATATCTTCTATTCCGATCTTCTTTGGTACTCATTGTTTGCATTTTAAAATGTTTTATTGTTTACCTATTGTCACTCATGCTCATTAACGAAATTAAACTGTATTAAAATATCAACATTGTCCCGGATAGACTGTCATTTATTTCATTTTTTTATTTCATTAAATAAATAACAAAATTGCAATTGTTACAGTTCCATTAATGATGGCATATGTGACAAGGTATATTTTTGGGACAGACAAGCTAAGGCCAAATGCATTCGAAGTGCGAGGACTCAATGGAGCGAGTACCGGCGTGGTACACTGTGATGAAGCTGCTATACTTTCTCAATGGCTCAAATACATTACAGACAATATCATGGGATTAACGCATCTTCAGGTAAATTATCTTTAAAAGGTCTACTTCAGTTTTAACATTGTCTTAATTAAATTTCTTTTTCCAGATGAAACTGTACAATAGAAACTTTCCTGCCGCTGAACGGATCGAGTATATGGGCTGGGTAAATGAAGGGGTGTTGAACAACAATCAACCTTGGCAAAATTATAGGCCCAGATTTCTTACATTGAAAGGGACCGATGTGATGCTTTTTGATTCTCCGCCTGTAAGTTTTAATTGTTCTTGTCATTTATCTGTGTGAAAAATGGTTTTTGTTTTGAGTAGCTGAACGTTGGTGATTGGGCAGAGTGCAGTCTCGTATTCAAGGTTTATCAGTCAATGCTGCGAGTAATAAAAGACTCGGAGAATGTCGACGAAAGGCAACATTGCTTCTTGATCCAAACTTCGGGTCAAGAGTCGAGATACTTTTCTGTGGAAACGCGGCAAGAGCTCCTCAGGATAGAAAGCTCATGGCACAGTTCTGTTTGTTCAGCAGTTATCAAAATTGGGGTAAAGGTGGTGATTGGGTAAAATTTGATAAATGACTAATTACGCTATTTACAGAACAAAAGTTTTAATGTCTCAACTGGGGGGAAGCCTTGCAGCCTCACCCTAGACTGGAACATGGGGTTCACCGTCAATGATACGGCAAGAACGTTCACATGGCAATACAAATTTTCTCAGCTCAGAGGATCATCCGACGATGGAAAGAGCAAGCTAAAATTGCACTTTCAGGATGCTGAAACTAAAGGAATTGAAACCAAGGTGACAACTATTAAGAATGAATCGCCACACAAACAAACTACAGTATAATTAAATGAAACAAATACATATTATTGTTATATTATCTGTATTGGCCATTGTTTTTTCATATAAAGTTTTGTAACAATTCGTGTGCTTAGTTTATTTAATTGGTGACTTCTTCTAAGAAAGTGCTTTCAATATCACATTTTTCAACAGAATACTTCAGAAAGAGTACAACACACGTCTTTGTAATGAAATATGAGACCAAAGATTATCAACTATGTATTAAAAAATAAATAAATAAAAATAACTCTATTGGTTAAAGCTTAAACAAATTTTCAAATTATTTAGAAAAAATAAACATAATTACTGTCCACATTAGTGTTTTAACACTCGCACTGCCATCTGTAAAAAAGACTGGTTGGTGGTTTAAGGTGGTTTAAAGGTGGTTTAATAGTTTTACAATGTTTACTTATTTAGTGGTAAGTGACTTATAAACAAAAATTTTCCTTTGTCTGCTAAAAGTTTACTTTCTAATTTTACTTTATTATTTTCTTGTGGAGGTCGGAAATTTTTCAAAAACATTATTTTACATGATTACCTTACAATATTACGAATTTCCTGCACAGTTTATACATTCAGTTTGTTGGTCGCCACTAAATGTTGAGCACATACAAATTATTTGCAATTACCTCATCTGGTAATGATAATGATGAGATAGATAAAAGGTGTCCTGGAAGTGGGGTCTTTGTTTCCTAAGCACTTCAGCCTTTTGGCCTTTCTTAGTTCCTTCACTGCAATTGACTCGACCCATCTAAGAAGTACGCGTTGCTATAATTCATTACCTTAGGTTTTTTAGTGTGTCTTACATTAACAACTATACTTGCAAAAATGTGTGGTGATTAGTGACCGTTAATCGATTTCTAAATAAATATATTTGCAAATTTTTTACTGGAAACAAAAATTATGACGTGGAACTCGAACATGGGTCTAGATAGACCCAGACATATTTTTACCTACAAAATGAGCAATAACATTTTTGTTCAACATTTCCAAGGAAAATTACTTTATGTTCAGGAAAGACTAAATAGAGGAAATTATTCAGAAATCAGAAAATGTGATGTAGGTTTCAGAAAAACATTTTCTTTATCGTGCCAACGTTTCGATCTTTATTGAGATCATCGTCAGGGCTCAAAGTGTTTGTCTTCTGTGTAATTGTGCCATTCTTGCGTGTCGTGTTGAGAGTGGGCACTAAAGAAAATGTTTTTCTGAAACCTACATCACACCAGACCGCATCTCACGATTTCTGAATAATTATCAATTAACGGTCACTAATCACCACACATTAATAGAGGAAAATTAGAGGGTACATAAAAAATAATAAATGAAAAATGACAAGTGAAAAAAATTCCCTAGGTCTTGAAAGACCCACGACGACGGTGCGAGTGTTAAAATAATCAACTTTTTTCTCGTAGCTTTTTTCTTATTAATTTATCAGTAGCAAATGAATAAAAGTCACTTTCAACTCATTTGTTATAAGAATTGTATGTTTAATTAAAAATAAATTACATCTAAATGAATTAATTATTTCTAATAATTAGTTTGAAAATTGTTTGTTGTTTTAGGAATTGGAATGCTCCAATCTTCAGGCACTTCTCTTCTGCATGCACGCTTTCCTAACTGCAAAGGTTGCTTCGGTCGACCCAGCATTTTTAAGTTCAAGAACTCCTTAAGTAACATTTAGATGGCGTAAACTTTTACAATTCTAGATTAAGGTTTAAGATAATAACAATAAAATAAAAATAGCAAATAAGTTAGTATAAGCACAAATAACTAATCTCTTTGGAAAATGGGGGGGGGGCAAAAATGTCGGCACTGCGTTATGAGCATGTTACAAGTAGATAAATTCTTCATAGGGCAAAAATAAACATTTATGGTTGAATATATCTCATTAGATCTGGTTAGATTTCTAAATGATACGTAAGTAAACTATGCATGGTCCTCTCTGCATGTTTTCTTCAAATCGATTACTTTTTTTCTCTTTGGATTTGTATATATCAAGAAAAGATTATAGATCTGTAAATAATATGAAAACTTTGTAAATACGGAAAATTGAGTACTGAAAATAATTGGTGCATATTTTGTTATGTTGTAAATTCAAATATTCTATTTTTCTCTTGCTTGATGTTTCATGAGATAATTCTACTTTTCAAGATGTAATAACTTAATCACTATGTTCCTTATACTGTTTATGGGATATTCGTCTAAATTAAAAAATAAGAAATAAAATAAATTGTGGTTACCATTTTATCTGGAAATATATAAATGTGTAATAATATTTGAATATATTTATAAATGTTTATTTATGATCTGATCCAATCGATTTATTGTTTTATGTATATATAATGTAATTTTGTAAATATGTCATTGCATTAATGAGATTTTATGTATAATATTTATATTTCGTTATATAAATAATATATTTGTACATAAATTAATACATCTAGGTGAAAACATTGTGATTAAGTCTTACATAATACAGTCAATAACAGATATTAATCTATTACATACATATAAAAGTTTTATATTTTTAATTGTACTCTGCTAATAGATAATTACATTTACATGCTGTAACAAATTGACTGGGTGTGCCATTTTAGACTTTTGTTGGTCTGTCTTTGAAATCGTTTAGTCATACAGTTTTCTACTTTTCGGTCAGTTACAAAATGATACTAATTTTGGAAATATATAACAAGACGGTTATTAAGAAAAGTCTGCATACAGTTTCAGTACAGTTTAAGACGAAGGTAAAAAAAAAGTGCAGGGGAAAATAATGTTTATATAAACTTTTTTATTGGTTTCTAACGCCGGAATAATAACATGAAAGTTACAGTTATTAACGAAACTCAACAAAAAAGTGTGCATATAATACAAAACTTGCTACAAAATTAATTGACATGTGAAATTAATAATCAGTGAGGCCTCCTTTATTATTGAGCACTTCATGAAGTAAATTGTTCAATACAGTTCCATATTTTTTGGTTACTTCAGAACAAAGATTTTCTCATTCTTCTTTGTCTGATTATCAGGTGACGTTTACTTTTTATGACCTGATTTTCAATCTTCTCTTCATTTCTTCCCAGAGACTTTCAATGCGTTTCCGTGTAGTGTTGCAAAATAACCACTCCTCCGTTTTCTTAGCATGATGTTTCCAGTCATTATTTTGGGGGAAAACAGTTCACAAGGAATCCAAGATTCTGGGAACTAGAAATTTTCTACAAGAATGTTTAGGTAAACATACTGGGCCATGGTCCCCTCATTAATTTTTAATTTACCAACTCCTGATGATGCTATACTTACCCATTATCCTTCCCCAGGCATGTTTTACCGTCATACTCAATTTTTTTAAATTTCATTGCTTATCCCCGCCCTGCAACTCTAACATTCATTCCCATCAGAACAGAAAAAATTAAATTTTCGTTCATCACTAAAAATTACACTTCCAAAATATTGTAGTGGTGAAGTCTTGTTTTTATACGATTTTGCAAATTGACCTCTTATTTCTGTTAACTTTACTGGTATAGGGCTTTTTACACAGCGTCATTGGTTTTATAATTGTGGATGATTGTGTGTTGTCCAACTTTTGCAAACAGTTTTTCCACTTACATTTACAGATTTTTCAAGATTATGACCCTGCACAGTGAACGGCATAATTTTAACCCTGCACCTTCATTATAATAAAATATTTATAAGATTATAACTAAATTTGAAAATAAAAGAAGATAAGGAAGTTCTGTTGTTGTTGAAATGGAATTAAATCAAAGGTGCATTCAAACTTATTTTGCATAACCAAATGTCTATTTTACATCATTGATTTTTGTACTATTTTAATATCCATTCTTCAATCCAAAAATAATACAGTGTTCAACATATATAATATATAACATATATAATTTTATAATAAGTAATAATTATTTTCTTTTTTTTAAAGAAAAAATAGCGGTGTATGCAGTCTTCTGTTACTAACCGTGTGTACAAATAACAACTCAAAAATATAAATAAATCAAAAAATTACTATTACCTACTGTATTGTTTAAAACCATGGCTAATAAAATCAAGTCATATTTCTTTTATAAAACCATAAAAGTTTGCATATCCTATTTAACACTTATGTATAAAATCTGTTTCTTGTCAAATCATATTTAATACACTATTATATTCAATAGAAAATCTTTTGTCCTAACATTAATTAATGTCAGAAATTTTTTTTTGTGTATTTGGCTGCCGTTGTTGGGCTTGATGGTTAATTTGAGAGATGGTAAATAATTTGTTTAAAATGACAATAATCATGTTTACAGTCATCTAAATTCTTTATAATATACTGAAAATTCAAAACAAAACAACAATTACTTATGTTGCATATAGTTAATGAACATATTTTTGCTGTATTGTAGCTACACGCTTCAAGATAGTAACTTTCAAGTCTATGTAATCTCATAAAATATACATTTTAAATTTACATTTGCCAACATGCAATTGTGGTTGTTGCAATGATTTTTTTTCTAGAGAATTTATATAATAAGGTAATATTTATCGTTTCATATAAAAATGTCATATGAACAATGCTGTAAAGATTGGACATGTACCAAGAAAAAATATTGACGGTGTACCTTGTAAACTTGTAACTTTAAAAATGAAAGTTTACCCATCGACTTCCAGATGGCGGACGAGGAATTGACTTGTATTGGATCTAATTTATAGTTTTCAATTAGATATTTGCTAAGACTGACTTTATACTTGCTTTTATTACCCTTTTCATTAATAAACTGAAAATCTTGCATAGAACGGTATCATTGTTGAAATAGGTGTTGGCATAATGGAACTTGCCTTGTAATTTATAAGCATCTTAATAATACAACTAGTATAAAGACATAGCAACTTTTGTCAGTCAAAGCTATATTTTGTGATTGTGCCTATAGTTAACATATATATCAGAACGTTGTAGGTAAATTAAAGAATAAAGTAGAGTTGTCAATTAGATTTTAAATTTAACAACAATGATTGTTTATTAATATTTTTTTATTTGATTGAAACCTAAAGACGCCAGTACAAAAATGTAATATGTATAATTTAACCGTTTCGGCTATCCCTTAGCTGTGGAATAAACCTAATTATATTTTGTTATTAAAAAAATATAACTATAACTATGTATTTCCATAAAATCATTTCCATTAGGAAGTGAATGTTAATGATGCATATTTTATAAAATAACATTATGTAATGATTTAATGTAGTGTTTTAAATTAAATTAAATTTCAACTATTTTGGAATGATACGTAATAAAAATAACAGTCGATGTGTTTAAAAATATGTAATTTTAAAAATTACAATTTTAACGCAATTTCAACTGTTATTTCCGTTTTTGTAATAAATAAAAATATGTTAAAAATAAGCTTGTTTTTTCAATAATACTACAATAATAATTAACATTAATATTAAGGTTTGTTTTGAGGTGCTAAAGGCGTTTTAAAACCTCTTTTATGGCCGTACATTTTTACATATAATACATACAATTTATGTTACAACATATTAATGCGTTTTTCTTCTCGTCTCAGCAAAACCTACACAGTCATTTTTGTTGGTCTGTTTGTGGAAAACCAACTCTTATGTTTTATGACATTTTCAATATTTTCTTTGAAATGCCTATTCAAATGGTCTAGGCATGTTCTTTTCAAATGGGTTATAGCAAATATTTACACATTATGAATATTAACGAATATGATTATTTGGAAATCGTTTCTATCCCGACTTCCTTCCCCACCCCTTCAAAATCCAACGTATATCAAAATAAAACATCAATATCTCACTGGCACTCTCAACCCGACACACAAGAATGACACATCTACACAGAAAACAAACACTTTGAGTGAGTACAAATACTTTGAATTTGAAAACTGAAAAATTCCTGAAAAAATTGGATCTAAAATCGTTAAATTCATATATGTATGTTTTTTCTTTTTCTTTTTTTTCACATCGTCCCATCAGACCGCTTTTCACGATTTGCAAACAATCGTTAACTAACGTTCACTAATCACCACACACTTACACACGTTAACGAATATGCTTGCTTTATTGATTACCGAAAACATTTTGATTCTAGCTCGCCAATATTCGGCTAAAGTGATTGATTCGAAGGAAGGATTCGATTCATTTTAAACTTGAAGAATATAACGGAATGAAACTCTTAAATCAAAACTCTCGTAGCCCGAATTTACCAAAAGATATTCTTTATAAACAGCTTTGTCAGGAGGCCTGGTCTGTTTGGCTTTAGGAAACCGAATATAGATGGTCTATATCTATCCGACCTTCGTTGGATGTTCAAGATAAGATGTGAAGTGTATGCCTAAATGTGGTTGTCTAGCGGCAGGACAGGAGGTTGTGCTCTATATGCTCTTCACGCAGTTCGGAAAATGTATTCCATTTTATGGCGGAATGAGGCCTAAAATTGGCATGTACTCATATCCAATGGGCAGCCTGGGCGTTTCAACATTTGAAGGACAGTTATCTTCAACTATCCTTGAAGAGAACAGATTTTTGCATTTAGAATCTTTTCAACTAACAAGGATACAACTACTTGAGTTTCGGTTAAGGATAAATTACTCATTAAATTAGATCCTTACAACAAATTCCTGACATGCTTGGAAGTAATAGTACGAATGGTTAAGGAATTTAATTTTTGAACAAAGCAAATATTTCTTCGGCAAAACTTATTTGCACCAACCTAACATTTCCTAATTCATATTATCTAATATTTCATGGTTTTTATATTTTATTTTAAGTTTTGAAAAAAAACCAACTCCGACAGACGGAAAATCCATGCTGTATAATATTTAGTTTTTCCTGTCGGGTTGTAACTTACTTGAATGGTTATGTATATTCTATTCAAACATTTTGATAGTGTGAAGCAGCACAAATTATTCGACATTTTAAGATCTACCGGAATTAACAGCGAGGAGCTTCAGCTAATATTTCAGTCAGAAAGCTGAAGTTTGAGTTAAACAATCCGCCTCGAGAAAAATTATACAAATACCTTTATGATGTGAAAATTAAATTATACAGTGATGTACACAATATAGAAATTTTACGTTTAATTGTGTTGAAAGTTTTGGTACCTTACATATATTAATGTTTTTTGTTTATATATGTTGCGTTTTGAAGAAGTGGGAAAGAAATAAGGATAGAAATCATTTTTCAATGAGGAGTCCCGTTCTTTGAGGTGAAAGGTACTGACAATGGGAAATTTCTTGGAAGATCAACATATTAA